AATCGCACCTCGCCGGCACCGCCGTGGTTAGGTTCTGCTAGGCCGTCCTCGCTGCTCTTGCGTAGAGGTATCTCGCACCAGGCGGGTGGGACCAGGCGCTGTTGCCACAGAGGGCTGATCGTTCTACGCCATCCCACGCTCTTCGAGAAGATGTCCCTGGTACTTGCTACCTGGCGGCCCGCTGTCGAAAATGCCAGGCAGACAGATCCATCCATCTCAGCACCCGACGTCAGACCCCCCCAGTCTCCCCGGGCATCTGACCACCCAGCCATAGGGGATTAATCACACCTACGGGCGAAGTTGCATCATTGTTTTTTCAGCTAGCATCCTGGTATCCGGCAGAATTTGTCATTCGTCTCCTGCGTTGGAGAAAGCCTGCCTGACGAAGGTGTGCGCCTTGGACCAACTTCCACTCTGCCGGGAGCCCCCATGCCTGTCAGCCATATATGCACATATGCAGGCTCACTAGGTAAATAGCGGTAACTCGTAGCCAACTGCCAGATTGCACCATCCATGTGATACCTACAGGACCCAAGATACTTCCACGATAGGCACCCAAATAGCGTGCCGACAGTACTCCAAGAAGTGCTCTAGCCTGGAAGTCAATGTCGGCACTTACCAAGAGACTTTTCACCTTGTGCTCGTTTTGGTCAACGCTTCTTATCGTTATGCAAGAAGTGGCTTTGTCTGCCTGGTAACTTGGCCAATTGACTTCCGCCTCAACGGTACCGTCACATTGGTAAGACCAATATTGAATTTTGGGTTATAGGTGGTTGGATCAAGACAGCAGGCTACCTTACCCAAGGGCTGATCCCCCTTTTCCAACGCCCTTTCGCCCACGCGACTCCCTCCTTTTTGTGTGATCATATCGTGTAACACCCCTTTTCATCCAAACCAGCCACAGATGGAGGTTCGGATAATTTCCGTTAAAAGAGCTACCCTGCTAGGAGAGATTTCCAAACCACATCCCACAAAAGTTCCCAAGGTGGTTGCTCATAATTTCGCTGTTGCCAACTCTGAGATATCTCAGGACAAGGATACTCGGGCAACGCAAACAGCAGTGAGCATATATGTATGTCCAGATGGGCAAGGTGATTTTGACAGGGGAAACGGTGCTTCTGCTTGCCATCTGAGAATGAGGCAAGATATTAGAGACAAGGAACTTAGCAAAACTTCCAGAATACTTCCTGCAAGCTTTCTAAGATCATTCTCAAGCCCTGACGATAAGTTAGTACCCACACGTGTATAGTAGGTAGAGACACCGTTAGATGTACAACCCCCCTGCAGGCATTTAATTTATGTCAAAGACCCAACCATTGAAGATACTACATAATATTGGAGACTGTCCGGTGCCACCTGGAAGGAATATATCAGCGTCCCTGCGGCAGACTATCTAAGATCCCACCGCTCAGGTGGATTGGAGAACCTGGACTTGCACATTCGTTCTAAATGAGCCATCTGTTGTCTGAACCGCTTTTTCCTTTATATTGATGCAGGAGAGATATTTGATCGACGTAGCCTGTGCCGTTTCTTTAGACCCCACACGATGAAGCATTGCACGTGAAGGTCATGCTGTATGAATTACCTTTCCAGCCTCCAATTAGACTAAAGTACATGTTGGCTAGCCTCCCGAGTCCCCCTCATGCTCCTCGTTCAAGGACACTTTACCACCCGGTCGTCGTCGAATTCTATGTCGACGATGCCGTCTGCCTTGACGGCCTTGACGACCATGCCCTTGAAGTCGATCGGTAACCTCCTCTTCAGCTCATCAACGCACATAGTTAGAAGCTTGATGCCTTGGCCTAGGGTGATATCGGGATGGTGATGCTTGTCCAGAAGCGACAGGCAGTAGTATCTTGGAGAGTAGAGTTAGCTATCGGGCCAAGCCAGGCAAACTATCGAGAGAAGAGCATAGCGGAGACATACTGTGCGTAGCCGTGAGCGGCGTAGGGCACGTCCACGAGCGAAGCAAGGTAATCCAGCCAGTACAGGGCGGGCTTGCCAGTGATAGGGTCCACGCCACCCATGAGGAGGTTGACGTTATAGGGCTTTCGGGATCGTAGGCTTGATGCGAGCTCTCCGCGGACGAAGTGTGCTAGTCCGGAGGGTGACAGGTCTGTTTCATTGCGCATGGAGTAGAGCTGTGCGTTTCTCTGAATGTATTCGGCGAACTGGACTAAATATCACCACTACTCTTAGCATATGTTCCCCCAAGATATCGACGGCGGTGGCATCTCATACCGGTGTCTCCAGGCTCTCCAGAGAATGCAAGGAGAGTGTGTTTGTTTAGCGCCCTTGTCTTGTCGTCGGAAGCCTTGAAGGTGGTTGGACCTCGCATGGCAGCTTTGGAAGCTGCAATGAGAGTGAAGTCCTTGCCTGTGATGCCGAGTAGAACCTCCCTGGAAGAGTGTAAGCCCACGTCGAGCGAGTTTAGCATTGAAAAGTGGTCCTTACATCTTGATTTTTGGGCAATGTTGCGATTTCGGTGTTGGTGGAGGGGTGATGGGAGAGGCAGTTGTGTGGTGCTTTATCAGGATAGCTGCTTGAAGTCACCCAGAGCTACCATTAGGCTGTAGCGCTTGCGCGCGTCACTGGTCTTAGCAGCCCGCCTGCTCCAATACCATACCACCCATCATGCTCAGTGACCGCCTTCGCACCGGAAAAGCAAATGGCCGATCTTTGGGGTACGTACCTTGAGCTTCCACAATCGATAAGCGGGATGGATTTTCTGTGGATCCCCATTTTGCACTAAGGAAAAAAAAAGTTGGAAGAACGACTGCTAAGAAATTTATCCTGTATCGGGCGGGATTGCCAGTGCCAGTACAGGCAATCTTCTTTCTCTATCCGCAACCATGTCTTCCTTTTTCACAGCCCCGAGCTCGCAGAAGAAGAGAAAGAGGCCTGTAGCCCCCGAGTTTCCTAAAAAGAGACTTGCCAATGGAGGCGGTCCAAAGGCATCCGGCAAGGCGCCTGCGAACCCCGCGAGCCGCCGTGAGGAAAGAGACGAGTCCATCTCTGGCAGCGAATCGGACGATGACGAGAGCTTCGAGGGCCTTTCCAATGCGTCCGGGTCCTCAGAAGCCAGCGATTCTGACAACGAAGGCGAGACCGCCGCCGAGAAGAGATTGAGGCTCGCAGAGCGCTATCTGGAGAATGTCAAGGAGCACGTGGACGAGGCTGGCTTCGACGCGGCAGACATTGACCGAGATCTGATTGCTGAGCGACTGCAGGAGGACGTGGCAGAGACCAAGGGAAAGGTGTATCGCCAATTGGGCTCTGAGCTGGCTATAGCCAAGGCTTCGCAAACTTTTTTCCGCACCAATACCGGCCCCGTCACCTCCATCACCTCCAACGCGCCCTACTTCTACACTGCAACTAAAGATTTACACATACACAAGTGGAGAACCCAAGATCTCCCGCAAGACCAATACCCTCAGACCACGAAGCGAAAACCGAAGAAGCCACCCGCCCCCCCGAAGAAGAGACCGGAATTGGAGTCTTGGACTAGAGGCAGCACCGGCAAGAAGAAGGAGAAGAATTACCAGAGACACACTGGCCCTATCCTGGCCATTGCTGCTTCGCCAGATGGTCGATATGTTGTCACTGGTGGCGCAGATAGAAAGCTCATCATCCACGATGCTGAGACCCTGAAGCCTGTCAAGGTCTTCAACCACCACCGTGATGCAATTACCGGCCTGGCGTTTCGAAGAGGGACGAACCAGCTGTACTCCTGTTCTAAAGACCGCACCGTCAAGGTATGGAGTCTGGACGAATTAGCCTACGTCGAGACCCTGTTTGGCCACCAGGATGAGGTAGTTGATATTGATGCTCTCGCCCAAGAGCGTTGCGTCAGCGTAGGAGCTCGTGACCGTACCGCCCGACTATGGAAGGTCCTCGAGGAGTCCCAACTTGTCTTTAGGGGTGGTGCTGTGGACAAGAAACCACAGCCTGGCGTCAACCCCCGCTCCTTACTCCATGAAGGCAGCATGGACCGCATTGCCATGATCGACGACGATTTATTCATCACTGGCAGCGACAACGGTACCATTGCTTTGTGGAGTGTTCAGAAAAAGAAGCCTGTTTACTTAGAATCACTGGCCCATGGGCTTGACCCAGTTCCTGGACCTACAGAAGGATCGGCTTCAGCGAGTGCAAGTGATAATGTCGTCGCGGTACCTCCACCTCGGCCCATCACTGCTTTACGGACGATACCCTATTCAGATGTCTTCTTCAGCGGGAGTTGGGATGGGTATGTTCGGGTATGGCAACTGAGCGAGGACAAGCGAAGGATCGAGTCCCTTGGTGTTCTTTCCAGCCCAGAACCCAGCAAAGAGGCAAATGGGGTCACGCCAAATGCCAGCGCTGCATCTTCCCGCCCTATTGTTGGTGTGGTCAATGGGATCACGGTCTTTGAGCGTGGCGACCGAGGAAAGGATGGGATTTGTGTCATCGCCGCAGTGAGCAAAGAGCATAGGTTTGGTCGGTGGAAAATTTTTGATGGAGCCCGTAATGGAGGAGTTGTGTTTGAAGTCCCCAGGATACGACCGCCCGTATCTGTGAATGGCGTTGATAATAGCACTGACGAGGAGGGCTAGATTGGGAGTATCGGGACAAACATAGAATTATCACAAAGGCGTTCATATGGTACCATAGCTTGTAAATCTACCATCTCATGTCGTCTTTCAAATAAGTCAAAAGATCGAGCGTTCTTCTTCTACTCGTAACTAGTTCCCTACATCGGGGCCGGCGAGTGTGCAATGTAGTTCCCGCTTGCCGCTGCTTGATATGTAGATTAAAATGGTTTGTTTAGTGAGCAACGTAAGGCTTTGTCATCTAAAACTCTCCTTCCGCTGATTCTAATTTGTTATTTTTCTACATTGGTAAAGAGAAGACCCAGTTTTGATTACACTTATACTCCTCGAGCTTGGGCTCTTGCAAAATACCCGAACAGCAGTTGCCTAGAGCTGGAACGAAAGATGGCAGACAAACACAATGTTGCCTTACATCGGATCGGTGGATCGGTTAATGCCGTCGTATTGTGGAGGCTCCGGAGCCGCGTCCCCCAAAGGGACTTCTTTGATACCAAGGTGGGAAGACTCATGGCAGTGGGCCTTCTTTCTTTTCTTCCTCTTTCTATGCCTCTTATGAGAGGGGGAACCTGCTTCTTCGCCGTCACTTGCCTCTACCGATATGTGAACAGGCTCCTCGGCGAGGGGTTGACTCTCTGCTTTGCATACATCCCCATTTTGTTGGATCCGTTGGGCGCTGTGAGAGGCAGCTTTTGGAGAAACGGATGGCTGGTTTTTGTCCTTCATAGTATTCGTGGAGCTGTCTGTGAGTGGGCTAACCAATTTGAGCGGAGCCTGATTCACAAGATCCGATAACTTGGGTTGCTTGATTTTGGTTGGAGAGGCACTCGAGTATCGATGGCTTGAGCTCTCTATTAGAGCATCACTCGAACTTTCCGGCAGCGGCCTGACAAGCCGGGGCCGAGTGGCCTCGACTTCTGATGTCTCGAGCCGTTCGATTTTTGCTGGGGAGGAGGCTATTTGTTGCCGTACGGAGCCGTTTGAGGTACCGTTTATCAGGAGCGGGGGAGAAAGCCCTGGAGATGACACAAGCTTTGAGTTTTCGGATGCTGGCTGTCCAACCAAAGGGCCTTGAGACGAAGCACGCTGAGTGGTAGGTCGAGATGATCGACTTGGTGCCACCGAGTCCTTCTTCCCCCGCCAGGCAATTCGTTTCGCTTCTCGGTCCCGGTCCATCCGCTCTTGCTGCTGTTTTTGCAACGTAAAAATAAGGTCTCTGATTTGATTCCTTAATTTCGAAGGTTGGATGTTCCAGTCAACACGCTCTTTGTGAAGTAGCTTGCGATACGCCTCATCTGGGTCCTGTAGAAAGGCCTCCATGTATCCAAGCACAAAAACACCACAATCGCAAAAGTTGTCTTGTTCAGGAATGCCCTTCCCAGTCATGCCGGGAGGACTGGCGCTTAGTTCCACGCCCTTTTTGTCCTTTGCCTCCTCCCCGAGATACTCCTTGAGAATTCTGCAAGTGGGCGAGTGCGCTTTCCCCAAAGAGTCAAGTGTGATGATTCTGGGCTCAGAGGGATCAAGTTTTTGGCTGATACCAGGTGTTGACTTCCGTGATTTCTTTTTCCCTACAGCAGGTGCCGGTTCTGAGAGGTCGGCTGCCTCATCTGCGATTTCCACGGTTGGAGGGAGGGGTGCAATATCTTCAAGCGAGATAGATTCAACACCACGTTCAACACTCGGCATCTGAGTCGAATCCGTTTTCGAGTCTTCGCCTAACTCACTGTCTGTTTGCGGAGCATTTATTTGGGGTCTCTTTTCAACAGGTAAAGTCATTCCAGGATTGCAAATAATGGCCAAGTACCAATGTGCATGTTCGTTGACAGGGACTACAATGTAGTCATACGCGAATAGATCAATCTTAGCCGTCCAACTTTTTACACCCTCGTATTTCTTTGCAGATTTCAGCGTCTCGAAAAAGAAGCTACTGAAAATATGTACCTTCTTTAGCATTGAAGGGGACTCGGCTTCAAGTTTAATCTGGAGATGGCGAAGATAAAAAGTGATGATGTTGTCATTGAGGAACTCGCCCTCGTCCAGTCTCGGGATGTCGTCAGCATCTACTGTAGCCCGGTTCTTGCCAGTAGGGGGATACACAAGAGACTTGGTCCACGTCTCTCTCCAACTTGGATTTTTCGTGGTCCAACGGTCAAAGAGTTCTGTGGGGAGAATGGGGGAAGACTGTCTTGTTGCGCGCCTTCTTATCCGGTATGATGGGGACAGGGTTTCATCTGGTGAGATAGATTCAAGGCCGAATGTACTGGATCTATTTGGGGTCTTATTGGATTCCTTAACAGAGCGCGCAAGTTTGTCCGTAAGTTTCTCTCGTTGCAACGGTTTCGCTTCCTCTAAAAACCGGCGTCCTGGTGATTGAGCTGGAATCTCAACCACAAAGTGCTGTCTGTCTCTAGATGATGCTTTGATGGCCGACCTATTAACCGCTGAAGGATTATTCTTATCAGCCAGTTTACGCGCATGATTGAACGCTTTTTCTGGCATCAACCTTCGAAGATCGATTAGCTGGCTTATGCTTGAACCCGTGTTCAGTTTTCAGAACTTACGGATCTTCTTCATCTATCACTATTTCCTTCTTGGGGATCTTGGGGAACTGATGGATGAATCGTTCGCAACTTTGAGTATCTTCAAACTCAAGGTAGATCTTTGAGGGTTGATCTGGGCAAAGGGATCTTGTTACGATCACAAAGCGGCTGGTTGGTACAGCATGTCGAAGTGTGCGCAATTTCTCGAAATTCAGCTGAAGCCATCGCGGCTCGTCCTTTTCCTCCCCGAGCTGAAACTTGAATGACCCTTCATTTCCTGAACCACTTGAGAAAAACTTGTGTGCTTGATTTTGCTCGGCTTCCCACGTGAAGTTGCCTGAAACGGCGCTTTTCAGGTGTATAGCTGGCTCTTCTTTGTGGAATTTGCTGCCCGAAGAATTCGGAGACTGAAACTTTGTGGATCGGATGTCACCTTTCTTCGTGGTTCGCACAAGCTTCCTCTCGTCAACATTCGTAAAATTGGTTTCTTTCTTCGCATCCAAAGTGGTATTCTTGGGGGGAGCCTGTAACTCGTCTTCAGAAATAACCTCGATGGGTTCCTGATCGACGGTTATCCTGGGTCGCTTGACCGGGGGTTCAGTGATTCTAGTTGGCCGACTTCGCTTTCCATTGGCTTGACTCCCTAGCACGTCAGACACTACGTTCGCCGGTGGGATTTCGGCTATAGAAAGGACATCTGGGCTGTCAGAATAGACTGAACGGCTCGTCGGGCTTTTGAGTTCGGCTGTCGTGTGATCCTCCTTGTTCATTTGTCGACTTTTTCGGACTCGTTTCGAATGGCTCAGGCTCTTGGTGTTGGTGGAGCGGAATTCTTGAACAGTGGCTGCCACTGTCGAGCTCTTCCCGACACTTGAAACACTTTGGATATCATACGGGTCATCTTGCGAGCCAGCGTAGACGGAGGAAGGGATCTTGTGTTGGGGGGTCGGTGGAAAGAACGGCGACTTGTGGAGGGGACGTTCGGGCTCAGCCTCGGTTTTCTGCCGTTTGTCGGAAGGTTCTTCAGTTGGCTTCGTATGCCTTGAACGACCTAGCGTGTTCATGGGCCTAACGATGCTTTCGCCGATTCTCTTCTGTGTGTTTGTGAGTGACCTGGGCGGCGCTGTGTAATGTCTGTGGGGGTTTGGAGAAGAGGAAGCTTACCAGCGTATTCATCTTGGCTGGAAAATCCCCTCCCGCACTCCCCTATCATTTGGTCCAGGGAACAATACCGGAGGCTTGGTTCGGCGGGCTCTGGCTGAACAGGTCGGCAGCGGCACCCATTGTCTGCTTCGAATTGAAAACTGAAATTCGTAAGATCACAACCAGTGGGTGCCAGTCTGACACAGAGGGGAAAGTCAGCCAGGTCCGGTTTGGCCAAATAAGATAGGTAGTGATATTATGCGAGATTTCGTGCGGCCTGAAGGACAAGAATTAGGGTGGCTAGAGTTATGCAGGAGGTTGATTAGGTGGTAGCAGATTTGACCTTGGCCTTGATAGATGCAGCAATATTTTAGGCACTGCCTGGCGATCATGCATGGGTCGGTCCTTCCATAAATGTTCCTGCTGTACACCCTGTAACCGCAAAGGCTAGTGGGGATGCTTGCCCACTTCCAGTGCGCTGGCACCCACTAACGTACGCCCTGCAAGTGCACATTGTCAGGTACCTGGCAGCCCGTTTAAGACCTGTTGCGCTTCTCCCTTTCACCATTTCAGAGCTGGCACAAACCTGACATGGCTGGGGCTGTTTGCATCTGAATTAGTAGTACATGTGTCTTGGTATACGTGTAGGGATAATGGCTGTTGTACGACCTCCAATTGTAAATATACATAAAGTAGTGTACCTGTATTGACATGGCCAGCGGCTACCATCCAGCAGTATCTAAGAAGCGCCATTCAAGAGGCGATCAGTATAACCAAGTGAAGTTTTCCCCTCACATAACAAATGCGTGCGACCTATGTACACGCTCTGGGTATCGAGATTAGTCTATTCGGTACTTAAATAAGCAGATCCCCAGGTCCATATAAGTGAAGCTACCTACCTAGGTAGCCTTGATTCTACAATGGGAAGTCCTTGAAGGGTCGCGCCCCACCTAATCTCAAGCTATGCATCTTCCCCCAGAAACGTGTCCAGACACCTCAAACTCCCATCTACGTAACAACGGCACCGGCCGGGCCACTTACTCACTTGCTTTTCCTTCCACAAATATTCCCGATCCCGTCAATTGTCGAATGGTCCACCGTGCTGCCGCCCACCATGCATAACACCCTCAACCGCTTCCAGTCGGTCTTCGGCTTCTTCACCACCGTCGCCTTCGTCCTGGGATGCTTCATCGCCGCCACCGACTTCTACGCGGAGCGCGCGCCCACCGGCACCCTCAAGGTCCAGAACCTCCAGGTCGTGAAGGGCCGCCCGCACTACTACTCCAGCGTCCAGGAGGAGTACGCGATCATCAAGTTCTCTCTCGATGCGGACCTGTCCCATCTCTTCACCTGGAACACGAAGCAGGTCTTCGTCTACGTGACCGCCGAGTGGCCTGCTGTGAAGGGCGGCGTGAATGCCACCAATGAGGCTGTCATCTGGGACTCTATCATCACGAACCCCAGCGCTGACCACTTGAAAAACATTGGCCCGGCTACCATGAAGAAGTTGAAGAAGTCTGCCCAGGGCAAGACGGTTGCTCCCGACCGGTATGTCATCGGATGTTCAACCCGGAACCACTACTCTGCAAAAGCTAACTCATAAACTGCAACAGGGGCATTCTTTCTCTCCGAAACCAGCGACCAAAGTATCAGATTACACACCCCAGCAGAAAGATTGCCGACACTGAGAATGTGAAGCTGAAGCTACATTACAATGTCCAACCCTGGTTCGGTCTCCTGACCTGGAACCAGAATCAAGACATTGGGTTCTGGAAGGCAATCAAAGGAGGAGTCAGCACTCCCTTCTCTCTCCCGTCTATAAAGAAGAAGAATTAGGTGGCAGCGTGCCGAATTTGCAAAAGCGATCTGGGGTACATTTATGTGTGCGTAGGCGTTCGGGATCATGCCATTCAGTGTCTTATTGTGTAGAAATCAGCGATAAGCTCCAGAATTGATTTTATTTTTCCAGGCAAATATGTGATGTATTCATGGTGTATTTAGTTCGCTTGAGATGAAAACCAATCTGCCTAATCTATGTCATCCCATGCCATGCCATGCAACGTCTATCATCATGTACAAACAAGTTTAACAAGCCCATTTCGTGAAAACATTGCAGCACAACAGCTCCAAGTGGCCGGGTTTCTAAGATAGGGCTGGGGAAAAAAAGGATTCAGTTGAATCCCCCCTCAAAAAATATACCTTAATACACAATGATGTCATGTTTGTGCTTAAGCGTCGTGGTTGGGCGCAGATCCTCCTCGGCCTCGTCCTCGGCCTCTCCCACCGCGGCCTCTTCCACGACCTCTTCCACGATGACTGTCGAGATTTGCCGGAGGAGGCACGTTACTATAGATGGCTCCTGACTCGGGGGTCGGCCCAGATTGAGGGGCATATCCTCCTTGAGGGGCATATCCTCCTTGCTGCCCACCACGACCTCTAGCACCTCCGCGAGGATGGGGGCTACCTCTACCACCATGGCCATTTGCGTGGCGGGTTTGGTCATTGCCTTCGGGCCCTCCGCGATAGACAAGAGTGCTATGAACCAGCTGAGGAGGTCCTCCACCACGCTGTCCATTGTTGGGGTTCCCTCCTCGGCCGCCACGACCATGTGATCCACTTCCGTTCAAAGCTCCTCGCCAGCCTCCCCGAAGCGGAGCGGGAGTAGGAGCATCGGTGTACTGGGTAACTCCCACGGATCCATAAGATCCTAACTTAGTTATAGGAACATTGCGAGTCTGCTGCTGAGATTTGCTCGAGGCTGAAACCACTTGTTTCTGTGAAGTATTGAGCACAGATGATGAGGCAACAGTCTGCCCACGGAACATAGGGGCTCTCTCATTCAATGTTGTGCCACTCATAAAGGAGGTATCCCACACCACATCTAGGAGTAGTGCTGTGGCGGTACGGCTGATTCCCACCACGGTTCCTCGGGTTGCAATTGGCACTTTGCCAGCAGCAGCAACAAATGTCACTCGGTCGCCAAGCGAAAAGTTTTGGTTGCCGAGCACAAGTTCTGCGTCGGTTGGCTTGAGAAGTGCCGATCGTGGCACACTGCGTAGCTTTCTAATCTCAACATCTTGAGATGCTTGGAATGCCTGCTCTCCAACCTTGGCGAGTGCCATGACCACCTCGGAGTCGAGCTGCTCCGCCTCGAGGGGAACCTTTTCGAATTTGCCCGTTTCTTGCTTCTTCAGCCAAGCGCTAATGTCCTTGACGCGTTGAGAAGCGACAGCTGGGTCGTTCCAGAGGTCAGTCTCCAGAATTTCGCTCTTCTGCGCCTGCTTTTGGATGGCAGCGAAAAAGTCGGGGAACTGGACCATGTAGTCAGCAATCAACTTGATCGCAAGATTGCTAAACTCCCATCCAGTGTGCGACTTCCTCGAATAGCCGAGGACTTTTTGCTTCCTTCCCTCAAATTTCAAGTTGAGTCCCAGATTCAGTCTCAGCCCAGCCACATTGTGAACCTGGAAGGACGAGGTGATCTTGCTCAGAACCAACGGGTGCATTCCCAGGTTCTTCGCAACGGCAAACGATGGGGTGTAGGGATTCATCTGTTCGGCTTTGTGGATGATGGACCGAGCAAATTCGGGCTCCTTGTTTTTCAACAGACTGACAACGATTTCGGCCTTCTTGTCCACATGGCCTGTGACCTCTAGGGGTCGTCCGTAGGCGTAATCGCCTAGAAAGAATGCGCGTGTTCCTTGAGTAAATTCCTCCTCAATCGGCAGGGCTGCCTTCTCGATGAATCGTGTATCTTCGTTCGCGACTTCGTCTACAATAGTCTGCCCAGCATAGAGACTCTTCAGGCTCAGGTTTTCGGCGTAGTCCTTGATCAGCGCACCCTCTTCAGTCCGATTCAGGCCCTTAAGCATGTGGACATAAACCAAGCATTCGACCTGTCCAATGGTCACACCGAGCCGCTTCCCATGCCAATTTTCAGTGAATTCGGCTTCCTTGGCCCAATCAGCGGCCTCCCTGTTGTTATGGTCTCTGGCGATCACAGAAGTGCCATCTTCTGACAGTTCGAAATTGAAAAGTTCATCACGAACAGCCATGATCTTGGCTTCCTGCAAGAACGGGTATCCCACAAAGCAGCGCTGGCCCAATCGCGCCTTCCAGGTGTCGACTTTAGCACGCTTCTCGGTGTCAGTAAGGGTGACAACAACGCTTGGGTTTCGGCTATCTTGTTGGAAGACGTTGATGCCATAACCCGCGACCAGTTGTGCTGTGTGAGGAAGAGTGTACAGTGAAGGAAAGCCTGCAAGAGCCTCGACGCTAACCAAAGCCCCGTTCGCTAACCCAGACACGTACTCGAGACCCTCCATATCAGGCAAGTCGAAGATATTCTCAATGCAGCGACAATTGGGAATATCAGGGAAAACGCCGGGCAGGGGTGATGGGAACGTGAAGTTGACTTCCGGCGAGTACGTGAACTTGATAGGGACTCCAAACCCATTTCTGGCTTTTTCGTCGTCGGCAAGGAGCTCGTTCTTGGGCCCCATGGCAGAAAGAAGCCGTTTTTCGTCAATGAAGGGAATCTTAACAACAGCCTCCCAATCCATCTTTTTACCATTCATGTCTAACACAAAGTCTCGAGGATAAAAATCGATGATAGGTGAACTCGGGTTCGTCATCAAGTCATGATATGCCACGGGCACAATCTTCTTACTTCGATCAGGCAAAACGCCCATGAGCTGCTCATAGGGTCTGAAAGGCTGCCCCTTTTGAAATTTGAGGTCTGCGTTGGCACCCCTCACGACATCTAATAAATTGAGTCAACAGTAATTCCATATTTCCTTTGAAAGCGACTTTACCTGAAATCAGAGGTGAATAGTGGTAAGAGTAAAACCATGGCCAGGATGCAATTCCTTTGTAATAGTAGAACAAGACCCATTGTAGACCTTGAACGTAGTTTTCGCAAAGACCTAAGAGCTCTCTTTCGTACTTTTCAGGGGCCCATTCTTCAAACTTTTGAAGATAATACTTGGTCTTCCACGCTTGATGTTTCTCTTGGTACAGCTTTTCGTACTGCTTCTGTGCATCTTCGGCAGTGAGATCGACAACCATGGCTTTGTCGTATATTTTCATAACCCGGTAAGCAGCCAGGTTTCCCTCTTCTTCCTCTTCATCGTCATCGTCATCATCACCTGCAGGCTTTGGGGGGAATGCCAATATGAGATGCCGACGGCCGTCGTCGTCCTCCTGGGTCGACCAATCAAGATGCATGGAATCTGCCAAGTCTTGGGCAAATTTGCGATCCTCAGCCTTCAAGTCAGTGCCCAAATCGAGCTCGTTGTCAGATCGTTTCGAGACGAAAGGTCGGATTTTCAGCTTCCAGAGATCTCTCTGCGTAGAGGTAATCACCAACTGTCCACCTTTGGGTGTCTTGTAATGGGCAGCCGACTTGCCGGCAAGTTTCTTCTCCATTTGTTTTGAAGCAAACCATTTCTCATCAGACACATCGTTCTCAAAGTTCTCGAGCTCGAGGCTTTCAAGCTCTGCAAGAAGATGCTTCAAGCGAGGGATGTTGATCACGCCATTTTCATTAAGGTATCCATCACACTTTGGAAGCACCTTTTTGTAAATCCGGAACATGTTGGCCAATGCTCCTTCGTTGATATGCAAGCCGGGCAGATTCGGCAAGAAATCGTTTCCAACGAAAAAGGCCATCAGGATAAAGTCATCGATGACTCGCTCTAGATCGAACGGAAATCCAAGAGAGTTGTCCGTCTTGAGTTCTTGAAATTCCAACTCTAGATACTCTCTTACTATGCAGAGATGAAGCAGATAGAAATTTTGGTGTTCAAGTTCCTTGGACTTTGTCTTGGAAGCTCTTCCAAAAGTAACTTCCTCACGTAAAAGACAGAAATGAGGATCGTGGCTAAGAAGTCCCAACATGATAAGATCGGCATCAAGACCGTATAGACAGTGGCGGACGTTGGGGTCGTAGTTGGGTTGCGACTTGGCGTTTCGAATGTACTCCATGATCTTGTGCTCTCCTTCTCCTGGCACCTCATGGCCGGAGAGAACAATTTCGCAACCTTGCCAATCAGCATCTTCAGATACCTTCTTGTTGACAAAATATCGCAGCTGTTGCGACAACTTTGCCATGAATTCGGTTCCTGTTCAAAGTCAGCTAACTACTATTCAGCACCTCGAAGAAGGAGAACCCTACCAGGGGTGATACAGTTACTGTCAAAGGGTTCCTCCTTTGGCAGCTCCAACCCTTCCTGCACAGCCTTTTCACGGGCTTTCTCTGCATCCAGAGCGGTACGGAATCGTCGGGCTCGCTGTTGATTCATCTTGGCTCGAGGTGCAACGCCATCAATGGCCATGAAGAAGAGCTGTTTCGGCTTGATCTTTCCAAAGAGATGCTCGATGTAGTTGAATATCCTGATGAACATTTCCTCCTCGCTTAATCGGAACATGGTGTCTTCGCCCGCATCTTTGTGAGTACAGTTGTGAATGATACCGTTCATGTCGAGCTAGAAAAGCTGTCAGTCGCCTGCGATGCATTCGTGTGGTTCAGAAGTATCGGACATATAAACAATCAAATTCGGGTATGCGGTTCTCCGCAATAAGCTGGGAGATCGCAGGATAGCGCTCGGAAATCCATCTGAAGAACTTAGGGACACTGTTGAGGGGTCAGCATGGTTCGAACATTGCTAGCAAGGGTCCGGAGGGGAAACGAACCCCATGATGGGAGCTCAATAACGACCCAATTTGGGTCGACGAGATGGTAGGTAGAGGTTCGTGGCAGGGTCGCAGGGTCAGACACGCGCGGTCTTGCGACAGATCGAAGAAGGTAGAACAAAGAATCAAAGCCGTACACACTCAGTTCGCGGATGCAATACGACAGAAGAAGCGAAGGGCAACAGTGTGAATCCAAAGAACTACCCAGAAAAAAGGAGTCGAAATGGGAGAAAATTAACGTTGTAGAGTTAAGAGGAAAGGTAGCGCATAAACGCTGGGTGGGTGGTAGAGACGGGAGAATAAAACCTTGCGATGGCCTCTCGAAGTGTGTTCGTTTGTCGCCAGAGCGATGACTGTTCCGGGGAGCCTTACGCGGGTCACTCATACGGCAAGCAAGGTAACTCGTGGCAGCCCCAACGGCTAAGCGGTACTTTGGGCATCTTTGAGAGGTACCTCCCCACCATAGCTGGCATGAACTCAAAACAGTGGAGGGGTCTGTCTTCAGCCTCTCGCTACGCCACAGACACCCCTGGAGACTTGCCCCTCGCCCCAATGCTCTGGTGGATACACCGGCGCCTCAGAGCAGCAGATGGCCTCCTCTGATTGGCTGCCCTGCACGCTCCCATTTACGCGCAACGCGTGCAAGCTTAGTTCAGTTTTCCAGTGTCATTGGTTCTCACAGCGCTGCAGCTTGCCGAGCGCATCTTCAATCTTCACCAACACCCAGAGCTCACCAACACACCAATTTGGACTCTCAAGGATTTCGTGTGCTTGTTGTCAAAGTTGAGACTTGGAGCAGTCGGTCGCAGCAGGGCATCATGGCTCCCACACAAATTGACCACGACCCCGATGGTAAGGCTAACTTACCGCTTTCCGCCAGCTCAACAGACGGTGGTCATAAATGCAATGCTAATGCTCTCCCGCAGTTGAGATGCACGAGGATGATGACGATCAGGCGGAGCGCTTGATAAACGAGGGTATGAGATCTTCAACTCCAACTTTGAGAATCAGCATTGCTAACCATTTATTTTCAGAGTACAAGACGTGGAAGAAAAACAGCCCTTTCTTGTACGATATGATTTTGGGGTAAGACGACCCAAATGCGAGGCTCTAGGGGGGGATTCACCTCTCAGTCCTCCCCTTTTCTTTTGTGCCCCTGGCTAATATCTGCCGCAGGAAAGCGCTAACATGGCCAACTCTGACTGTCCAGTGGTTTCCTGATATCAAGGAGCCAGAGGGCGCCAACTATCGCACCCACCGCCTTCTGCTAGGAACTCACACATCCGATGACAGCCCCAACTACCTCCAAATTGCCGATGTGCAAATCCCAAAGGCGGTTGCCCCTAACCCTGATGACTATGATGAGGAACGTGGTGAAATCGGCGGGTATGGAAAGTCCGGCGATGTCGCAGCCATCAAATGCGACATTGTGCACAAGATTGAGCACCCAGGAGAAGTGAACAAGGCGCGCTATCAACCACAAAACCCCGACATTATTGCTACCTTTTGCGTCGATGGCAAAATTCTCATCTTTGACCGCACCAAGCACCCCCTGGTTCCCCCTACCTCCTTTGGCAAGTTCAACCCTCAGATCGAGTTGGTAGGCCACAAGTCCGAGGGTTTCGGTCTCAACTGGAATCCCCATGAGGAGGGCGGTCTTGCCTCGGGCAGTGAAGACAAGACCATGTGTCTTTGGTAAGACTTTCTCATCCTTACCGTGTCGGTAGTTGCATTTGCTAACTAGTCTCAGGGACCTGAAGAAGCTGGAAGCCGATTCCAAGATTCTCAAGCCCAGCAGGACCTACACGCATCACACGCAAATCGTCAATGACGTTCAGTATCATCCCATCTCGAAGAACTTTATTGGCTCCGTATCTGATGATCAAACGCTCCAAATTGTCGATGTCCGACATAGCGAGACTGACAAAGCAGCCGTTGTGGCCAAAAAGGGTCACCTGGATGCTATTAACGCTCTCGCATTTAACCCCCACTCTGAAGTATTAGTGGCAACGGCCTCTGCAGACAAGACCATCGGCATTTGGGACTTGAGAAATGTCAAGGAAAAGGTTCACACCCTTGAGGGACACAACGATGCCGTGACATCCTTATCATGGCATCCTACCGAGGCCGGCATTTTGGGTAGCGGTAGTTACGACCGCCGCATTATTTTCTGGGATCTCTCTCGTATTGGCGAGGAGCAACTACCCGATGATCAGGACGATGGCCCTCCTGAGCTGTAAGACAACCCGCATCAAATTCGTTTTTGTTCTTGACTAATAATCGGTTGCTTTTCATTTAGGTTGTTCATGCATGGCGGTCACACCAATCACTTGGCCGACTTCAGCTGGAACCCGAATGAGCCTTGGCTTGTCGCCAGTTCAGCCGAAGACAACCTCCTCCAGGTCTGGAAGGTTGCGGAATCTATCGTTGGCAAAGATGATGGTGAACTACCAGTGGATGAGTTGGACCGATAAGGGCATACGCCGGTTTTGGATGATCCCACATCGACAAGCTGAGACTACATAAGTCATACCCGGTGTAAAGTAGTGGAGCTGGCCTATCCAGGGAGTGCAGGCGAGTCGGCTCGTTGCCTCAGGGGACCTCACATTTGTTGTGTCAGACCTTGATCGAGATGTCCCATTTACTAGTTAATATCCTCGCAAACACTTAAGAAAATCAAGAAGCATATGGAATCAGAGTTCGATACTGATAGCGGGTGCGGGTGCCAAGTCCCAACTGTTTGTGTTCAGGTCCGCCAGCGGATGTCACCAGCTGTCTGGCTGAACTTCCGAATTCCCACCTCACTCAGTGCTCACCCTAATTGTTTTTCAATAGCCAGGAATGAGTCCGGCCTATTGTCGACTTTCTATTGTCCCGTTTATTTACATGCAGACAATAAGCTACCGGTCACTATAACAACCCCCCTCAGAGTCAATTTCAACGATGCGCTTAGCCACTCAATGATACCTCAACAACAACAATTGCAGAACCCGGGTTTTGATCTGCATTATTTCCAACACGAATCGTACCTGCAGTTTTCAACATTTATCTTGACATGACCTCGCCTCTCTTGCTATCATCATCTACCAAACACCATTGATCACCATGGCGGCTCCTACTCTGGATCCTCACTACGACGGTGATGTTGATGATGCGGATGATGAAATGGCACTTCCCGTTCGCTTGAACGATCTCGTCGATCTCGTGGAAAACCGCGAGGGTCTGGACCAGGACGAGTCCCAGCTCCTGGCCCATGTAGCACTCCAGCAGCTTCGCAGCCAACAGCAACACCAGGAAGGCCCGGTCACCGCTAATCAGGTCATCGAGGCCATCAAGGTGTACGCCATTCGAGAACTCATGGAAGACCATCGGAAAAATCTCAGAAGGCAAGGTCGGGAGGAGGTTTACCAGTGGGGTCAGCAATTTCTCGGGATGGAGAATGGGCAAGCTGCGGCTCCAGAAGGGGGAAGTGGGCAAGGAACAGCTCAACAAGAGGACGATGAGCAAGGTACAGCTTCAGAAGAGGAGACTGAGCAAGATACAGCTTCAGAAGGGGAAGATGCAGCTCTACAACAAGAAGAAACAGCTCCAGATGAGGAGAGCGAGCAAGATACGGCTTCAGAGGAGGAGGCGGAGGATGCCAGTTCGACATCTGGATCTGTGGGGGGTACAGACGACGGCGATTCGAGTCAGTGGGGGGTAGGAGAAGTACATGTTTCAACTGAAACGGAAATCATCGATGGTCTTGCACGCTTAAAGTTCACCTTCACAGACGAAGCTTTGCAAAGATTCTTTGGAGGGAGAGATCCGTATTTGAAACCTTCAGATGAGCGCGTTGTCGAAACACCGGACCCCGAACAGCGAGATATCCTCACTGCGCTCTGCAGCCATCCAGTCCTGGCTGTTGAGCTTGGGAAGCATCTCGCCCCTCAAGATATCCTAAACCTGTTCCTTTCCTGTCGAACGTTCCACACTTTCATACATAACTATATGCTGTCGAGCATCCGCACATGGACTGCATACCGATTCCCGAAAGCTGGCGCGACGTTTCCGTACAGGCTGTACAAGCCCCTTCTGATGTCAGATCCTCGGGGCCGCGCATGGGATGGCGAGGAACAAGAGGACCCAGAGCCAAAGAAAATCCGCTCGATCCCCGGCCTGAAGTACCTGCACCTTCTGTGGACTCGGGATCGTTGCTCCAGGGACATTGTTGCCATCATGGCCCGTAATGGGCATCGTTTTCCCAAGACGATGTATACGACTCTTCTCAGGATGTGGCTAACCATGGACCTGTCTACCAGTGCTCAACGACGAGCCTTGCTGCGTAATAAAGAAATATGGACAGACACTGACCTCTATAATGCGCAACTCTTATTTGTCAAGCTGGGGATGCACTTCAACGACCCCGTCTACGGCCCCAACACTTTGGAGCTGCTCCATCTGATGATGGGCCAGCGAGGCCTGTACCCCTTGTGGCAACTGCTCATGCGCAAGAGATTTACCACTCTTCCCGAGATCTTGCAACTCAAGGTTCAGTATGATATGCAGATGCCACCGGACCACTGGGGTCACGACTACTATGGCGGAGAGATACACGACGTCCCGTTTCACAAGGTTGGCACAGCCCATTGCGAGGGATGGGGCAAAGGGAGAGCTCACCTCCAGCGTCCCGACGAGCTCGTCCCCCTCGAGGCCGTTTACCGCGGCCTTGAACTTGACAAGCACCTCCCCCATATGATCCTCTGGGGGTATTTCGACTGGAAGACGGGCCAGAACCTAGTCCCTACAGAGGAGGAAATGTACATTCCCAATGAGGAGAAGGCTCTCGAGCACATGGACACGACACACCATTGGAAGAAGCGGCATGCCATGAAGAAGCGATGGTCGAAGCTCACCGAAGAGGAGCGTCAAACCCTCATTGAAGACGACGCAGATGAATCCCTGCGGGCTCAGGCCTGGATGGACGAAGATGACGACGGCTCATCCGAGGAGGGTGCGCCGTACAATCCCAATGACGAGATTGCCCGCGGCTACATGATGCCGCCGTGCCCAGCAGACCGCAAGTCGACGGTCCCTCCAACCAGTGATAAAGAGGGATGGCAAAGCTTTATCGGCACCGCGCTTATTGGAATGGCTCCTGAGCTCGATCAGGACGAGGTTCTGTGTGCTCAGGCCTGGCAGGACTATGGGGATGATCAATTTGAGGATGGCTTCGACTGGGAGGAGTGGCTCGAAGAAAGGGAGAATCAGAGAACCATGGCTCTCGCCTTGGAAGACGCAAATGCAGCTGCAGAAGATGATGATGTTGACAACGAGGGAGACAACGAGGAAGACGAAAATGCACCTACGGACGACGACGATGTTAGCGAGGATGAGGATGCTACCATGGAGGAGCTCTAAACGAAAGGTTAGGCTCGTACGTAAGAGGAGTGTAACAAAATTAAGGGTGGCCATTGTGATCTGGACGGTAGCAGGCACATTGTATTCTGACCATTATGTAAAAAAAAAAAAAAGAAGAGATCAATTTTCCTCATCACAAACAACATGCGGTGGACTTCTCTGACAGATAAGATCTCTATATAGTATGAGGGGAAGCATGGATAGATGCCTCCGCCCTCTCCATCCGCTCCGTTTGAAGCACGCACGCACGCATTATCTGTGGCATATCCTTTTATAAAGAAAGAAAAAGTTCACAGAAGATTATCGACAAAAAGCGCGAAGTTCCGGCTCCACGAGCCCCCCCTTATCCTTTCTTCTTCGCTTCAACACCAAAGCCCTGGAAGGCATATTTTCCCCTACTGTCTCTCCCCAAAAAGAAACCATGATTGTTTTATGTGTGGTGAGGTATCGGCTTTCAATGAAAAAAAACACCCCCAGCACCGTCCAGCAGGCATATACCAGCCGGCCATGTTTCCAGATTCCAAAGAGCTCCCCGACTCCCTCGCCAATTTCCCTCCATGTAGAGCACTCCGCCGCTTACCCAGATGTCCGCGCGTCCAATGAAGCATACAAAATAGAGAGAAAGGGAAAACGAAAACACAAAAAGTGATATGAAGGTCTGAAGAACTGGGAAACACAAAGGTGAATTGCGTTTTTCCCAAAGATGAGAATGAGAGGAATAGAGGCAGTGGAAGAAAAGAAGAAGAAGAAAACAAATAACACGAGAGATGGGTTTAGAAAAGGAGATAGAAAGCACGATGAGAGAAACTGACATGAAGAGCGGTGGAAAGCCGAGCGAAAAAAATAAAGAACACAACCCCGGGCGGACTGAAAAATAGTTGTTTGATGTTTTCAAGTCAGAGAACGCGGCCGAGAAAATACCCTCCCCCCTTTTTCACTCCTTTCGCTATGCACCCGCACGTCCGGAACAATGATTCCAGCAATATATATCATGTCCCAAATGAATCAACCAAAGCCGGACCCCTCCCAGTCATCCCCAGCGGAATGAAAAAAAAATAGAACAGGCCTTGTCGGCGGGAGAGACAATTTCTCGCAGCTGGTACTGTGCCGATAAAACATGTCGTCGACCCAGAACAGCCGTAAAATAGTAGTCACTTTTCGTTTCCAGCCATCCCACCGTTTTTTATTTCACCCATGCTCGCCAGCAAAACAAGAATAATCCATCACTCCGATCCAACCTTCCAATACCAAACACACTGTAATGCCCACACCTTGCCTTCTTGTAGAAACCAAGCAAGGTTCCAGTCCATCTGGAAAGGTATCTGGCAAAGGTCAAAATGCAATCTATGTTCATTACCCCAAAGCCTTTCCGTGGACAGCAGGAAAAATCAGAAGCGACCGATCAAATGCCGAAATGAGGCCTGATAATACCGTGGGAGTGACCCCTCGGACTCAGGTGGGACAACCAGCATTGTCAGCCTAAGCAGGCGACTTGCTGGGAGGAGCTGAGCCGCCGTTCTGGCGACCGTCGCTACCGCTCACTGACAGTCCACCAATTCCGCTAGAGAGGAAGGCGAATGGGTCGTTTTCGCCTCCGCCGTTGTTGCTGCTGTTGTAAAAGTTGTTCGAAGGTCCTGCGGAGGCAGGTCCATTGGTCGCAGACTGGAAGGCAGCCTCGGCAGCTCGACTGTCAAAAGGTCCAGCCGACTGGGCACCAGGAGCAGGACCAAATCCTTGAGTGTTCAAGGAGCTGGGGTATGCACCGGCACCACCAGCGAGACCAGAGGGCAAGAAGTGGCTTGGTGGACCGCCGAAGTGCTGGTTGTATCCGCCACCGCCAGAGCCGAACGAGTTACCAGAGGCAAAAGGTCCAGGGCCAGGGCCGGGTCCGGGAGTTCCGGCCATTGAGCTTTGGCTCACGCTGTACTGAGATGAGTTGTCCATGCCGGAGGGGTAGCCAGAGTCGGCGACAACAGCAGCACCAGCACGGCTAGCACCACATCGAAGACAGCACACATTCTTGGCGAAGTTGTGATAACCACAAACCTCGTTTCCACACTTCCAGTCTCCAGCACGGAATGGAACGACACCGCTGCCGCCCATGCGGCCACCGTGGCCCATGTGTCCGTGGTGTCCACCGTGGTGGGGGGGTGGCACCATAGCTGGAGGACCATAGCCATAGTTATAGGAGCCAGGTCCTCCCATCTCGGCGCCGCCTTGAGGTCCGGACCCGGCGGCAGGAAAAGAGCATCGGAAGCAAGCCGTTCTGCGCTGGAAATTCGAGAAACCGCAGGAGGGGCAAGTCCAGTCACCCGGGCGAGGTCGGTTTTTGCTCGGAGGGAATGGGGTGAGGATATCCTGGGCACGATCCAAGACCCGACTTGACGATGGAGAAACTTCAATCGCTTTCTCGTTGAGGGCACGTCCATTCATACACAAGCTCTCGGCGGCCTAGACAGCAGACGGTTAGCTCCATTGGTTTCACACGGGTTGCAGCAGAAGATAGAAAGACAGCAGAGTTTCAAGCTGAGGGCGGAAGGTAAACTTACTTCCTCATGAGACGAGAATACGGCGAAGCCGGTACCGGTGGGCTTGTGCTGTTCGGGAGTGCGGAGAGTCCAGAAAGCAATCGGGCGACCACCGAACTGAGTGAACCAACTTTCCAGCTCGGATTGGGTGGTATCATGAGGAAGGCCTGACATGTGAAGAACCTTGCTTCTCTCGGACAGGAATGCACGAACATCAGCACGGGCATCCATAGGCCTAGACAGAACATCAGGATGCTCCTGTCGCGGCTGCGACTTTCGGAGCAAGCCACGGAGAACCCTGGCGAGTGTGATAGCCTCTTCCATGGCACGTCGAGGGGACGCCGGGGCCAAAGCCTGAAGGTGGAAAGGCAGGTTGTGTTTGATGGGCGCGCTCGACTGCACGGGCTCTACCTCCAGAGCTGCACAGATATTTGACAGCATTGAGGGGCCAAACGGCAGTGACTCGGGGTGGTGCTGTTGCCATCGCTGGTACTCGGTTCGCAGATCGAAGGTACGGGAGTGCTGCAGGTATGGAGGGAGGACAACCGCCTTGTCACGAGCCTCACGGGGAAGCTGAACACGAAGGTCCCAGGCATCAAGGGTAACGAAGACGAAATCGAGGTTCTTGGACGTCAGGTGTTCAATGGCAAACGTGTCGAATCGAGAGATAGCATCTCTAAAGGTACCCGCGTTTCGGACATGTTCCCAAGTGAGAGTTGTCAGGCTCGCTACGGAAGATGCTACGTCAGTAAATTGAAGCTGGGAGGGTCCGGAATTCGCACTTGAATTTGGCGAGGAGGAAGGGCAAGTCGGGGGCACGAAATTGGAGACGGCACAGGTCAGGAGCTGGCAGGACTTGGCAACTTACTGCATAATGGGGTGATAGGGGTGTTGACCGGCTTCACAAGCACACTCTCATGGGCAAGCTATATATGCAGAACATCGGAGTCAGCTTCGGGCAGCGAGAGAGGATAACGGCATCGGCAGCGCCACGAGGGAGGGAGAGGATACTAACCTCCTCGAGAGTGTTGGCATCGATTAAAATCCATCCAAGTTCGATGACCTCTGCGGAATCCTTGGTCACGTAAACGCCGTGTTCGTCACAGGTGGTCGCAACATGGATGACGACGTAGCGGTCGACAGTGAACGCAGGAAGCGGCTGCGAAGACATGATGCTAGTCGGTTGAGCGATGCGGACGGCAACTCTCGACAGCGACTGGAGGGACCGTTATAGCGGTCTGTGTAGACAACCAGACAGCCCGCTTGGTGGGTAATCAGTCAATCTGCCAACGAATGCAAGAAGAGCTGCAGCCTGTGACCCAGCCGGCTCGTGGGAGGAACAGGAAGCAGGGCGGTAGGCGCTGAGTGGTGGATGGGGAGGTGGTTGTGAGGATGTCCTGATCAGGATGGTTTGAGGTTTCAAAAAGAAGGCCACCCAAGCGTCGAAAGCTTCAGGAGGTGCCCGCCACAGGGAAGCAAACCGTTGGTGGCCTGGGAGGATTGTGGGGGTGCACACCCAACAGTACGGCTTCGCACAGGCGACCGATCAACGAGTCAACCGCTGTGGCTGTTCCCAGCAGATAGAGGTGGCGATGATAGCGGTGGTGCGGCGGTACAGCGGTAATACAGCGGTACCTAGGGAGGTCGCCAATATTGGCGCTCCTGTACAACCGGTCCAGGTATCTGGGCTTGGACACCGGGTCCGTCTGCAGGATTCGAGCAGCAGCTGTGGTCCTCTTCCTAACGGCCAAAAGGCGACTGTGAGGTATGCGAATTGAGGCAAAAGAGAAAACTGAGCAACGGGTAAAAAGGAAGAGTGTTTCTGCAATATCAGACATCGGATTGGAGGTTGAGTGTCAGGGTAAGCAGCAGCTCTCGGCTGGATAGATACCCAACACTCAGGTAGATGCCTTAGCGGTGCCAGGTACCTCCTCACTTGAGCAGGTTTAATATTAGCACAGTAGATGGGATTTAAAACCGCGTAAAAAAAAGGTGACCACTAGCCACCTGGTAAGCATGCCGTGGTCCGTTGCCAGACCCATCCACCTGTAAAGAAACCAGGGGTGCACCCGTGCCGGGACTCCTCCAGTCTTGCAGAGCTGGCACTGTACCTCTCCTGGATGGATGGAGGGATGGATAATGTGATATTCCCAGGTACATCGGATTGTGGTTGCGGGCACTGCTGTGTCACAAAATCCTATCCCCCCTCATTAATAATACCAGTCCCAATCACATCGCTGCGTAAGGTGGTAGGCACATGTTGGGTCGGTAGGGAGGTATTTCAATTAGGATGCCTTTTGCCTATGTGCGCAGCGTCCAGGAATGTACCACGCTGGCAGCCCTCATTGCTCAGGAGCTACCAATGGGACGCATTGTTTGTGAATAATCCAGTGTTGAGCCTCGGGTCCATATTTTCGGGTTTATTCGTGTCACGGGCCCCTGGGAATTATTCTATACCAGAAGCTACCTAGG